ACCGAATCGCGGGCAGAGGCAACGGCGAACGCCACGACCCCGTTAACTCGCGGCGTCGCGCACCAACACATGGAAGAACGAACGACGCGTAACGGTTTATGAATTCACGTTTCAGTGATCTCCTGCATTTTATATCTTGACACGAGAGACCTCTTCAATTGTGCTTATAATATTCCCGCTGGGTTGGTCTGGCGAGGCCCTGTTCGGATATAACAGTTTCGATCGCCACGGTTCTCTTCGCTGTACAGCCGTTAACATACACCGTCCAATTCCATTCCATTCGATTGTACGTACGGAGATTTATGGACTGCGATTCTCGAACCGCCGATCACTGAATTGGAGGGAAAATGGTTAGCTAATCATTGGAATACCAGCTCACTTTTGTACACGAACGTTCTCGTGCTTCCAGGTGTTGCGGCGACATCCGGATGATATTTCGGATCATTGGACGTTGCGATTTTGGACTAACTGAAGCGGGATCGTCGCGCTGACAGACCATTACGGTTGTCCTCCTCGATCGGATTTGGTGGCGATTGTCAGAGCTGCTGTCACACGCCTGTCGCAAGCGTTTTATCGATATTAGAAAAATTCTTGTGGATTCCAAAACCGTGTGAAACGCCGGGATAGTTTAGACTGACGAAAGGGAAGGGCACACGAGATTCCTGGTTAAACACCGTCTGTGTTCGAAGATCGGCTAGGGAGGAGAAGAAGGAGGGGGGGAAGAGAACGTAGAACCTTTTACCGTGTACGCTAGTTGTGGTTCGCTTCCCCCTTCCCGGACGAGTACGATCGATAAAATCTGACAAATTACACAACGATACAATGACATTAGATACGATCGGTTCTTGGTCGCCCGTTAATTTCCTCGAACCTTGGTTCTCGGCCCTCGGTACGAGCGAGCCACGGAGCCCGCCAGCTCGATTTCGTCTGGGAACCGAGGTGCGTGGATTGTCACGCGGGGACACGTAGGCATTAAAATTGCTGACAAGCATTCGGAGACGCTCGTCGACAACGCCGACGATGGGTTCTCCTCTGTTATTACACGACCGTATAATAATATAAGAAATATTTTAATCGAGTACGATACAGGAAGTGCGAGCGCGCTGGCACCAGAAATACCACTTCCTCTACGGTTTTCTCATTCTTGCTGCGCTTGTATTCACGGAAACGTACACGTAACATTTGCGGATCCTCGGCCACCATAGGCGTAGGTATCGGAAGATCGATCACCTTTCGTCGCTTTTTTATTTTCTCTTTCTCTCTCTCTCTCTCTCCATTTAACCACGGTGGTACTCAAACCATTCAATTTTCCTCCTCTGTTCTTCTAGGACGCGAATCAACCAGAGAGGGAGGGGGATCGTTTGTCACCGGAAAACGACGGGGAAAACGTAATCTTGGACGACGATATGAATTCAGCTGGCCACCATATTAAAATGGAAATAAGACTTCTCGCGGATCTTCGTCTCCCCCGTAATGGAATGAAAAGCTTCGCGCTGAGTCGAAACGAGAATTTCATCCGGGAATAGGGGAGGAAGTTCAGTTCCAGTAAGGATAATTACCGGCTTGCTGCTATTTGTCATCTTTATCTAACCGGCTACGAGCCACGATTAGCATATCGTTAGCGCGACATCGCGTAACTAGTATTCTTTCGCGATTAATTTATCAGTGTACGGTTTATGCGTTTCGTTTAGCGAGCCGTAACGATAGCTCGACGTCCGGAATTACGGGTCAAGTTGTACGTAAGCAGGCATTTTAACAGATAATACCATACGGTGGATATCATATCGGAAATTATGGTACAAGTTTCAGCGGGTGTATCTTGAGGATAAAGTTAGTACAAATTACAGGAACATTCCGCGAGTTTAAACGGCGATGGAAATTATGTAGTATGTATATATAGCTAAGAATGTACGAAGTTAAATCGGATTCCAGAACTGAGGAGAAAAGAAAATGGCGGCGGCTCCGATCGAACGTGTGTAATGGAAAGGAAACTCGATCCTAGGCGATCCTCGTGAAATCCTTCTTCGCTTTGCATGCTATATATATATATATATATATATATATATATATATATATATATGTATATATAC